GTTTAACCCAGTTGTCAGTGACTTCAAAGACTTATGTCATGTTTTTATTTAGACGCTCTTAGTTTTTTCATCTCATTCCTACACCAGACAACATCGCTCGTTGAGGTCGTTAGTAGTCGGACGTTAGTAAGACATGTCCCAACTACCTGAAGTGATGAAAATCCCGTACTTCGTCAACCAATTAGCCATCCTTAACTAGTACACTTTTCCGAACGCCAACAAATACTAGTAATCTACCAATATCCTTCATTCTTTGTGGCCACGTTCCGCACTCGTAAAGTAGGACGGGGCGAGCTGCTGCGCGGTAAACTCGTCCTTCTGTTAGTAGACGGATATCTTGCCCACGCCAAAAGTGACGCAGGTTGGCAAAAGCCATTCGGACCTTCTGTATCCGTACCGATTCGTCAGACATCGGGCAATCAGAATTGATGAGACTCCCGTGATAAGTGAAGCAGTCAGCACGCTCAACTTCATTCCTTATTAATAATGAGACACGTCCAGGTCTGAAGCCAGCCTGGCTTTCTCAAGTTTGCTCTTCACAAGTTCTAGTTAGGCGTCGAAGTATTATTGAAGTTGATATCTTACACACTAAATTAGTTAAACTGATTTCTCTGTGATTGTCACAAGAGGGTTTTTGCCCTGTCTTATAGACTGGGACAGTAAGTGATTGAGACCAGTCAGATGGATTTGCATCCAGATCCTATTAACTACCTAAAATCTCACTGCTAGGACCAGACCACCATCCTTGAACATTTCAGGAGTTAATCCATCAAGACCCGCTGCTCTTAGATTGCTTATAACCTTTCCAACCTCATTAGGATTTGAAGGACATACATCGATTTGCCATTACGGTCGACTGGAGATTGTGGGTAACAGAAGTGGCTGAAGGCCATTTGAACTAAAATGTTCAACATATTGATCCAATTTTCTGGATTGCGAATGAATGAATAGTCTCATCTTTTTCCAGTATAATCTCGTTAAGAGTTGGATTCTTTATACCTGTTTTCTTGACAAGTCTGAATAGTTGTCTACTGTTACCTATTGCAGCTGTCCTTCCCATCTCTCCTTGCTGTTGCTAACCACCACTGTTCGCGATCACTGAGTAAGCTTCTTATTATGGTCTACCCAAAAGCATGTGTCACTGTTGTTTCCACAGCATTTCGGATATTATTCTTAATTGCCTCGCGATCGGCATCACTTACATAGCTGCCTAACTGTTTTTCTAGTTGCTCATGAAATACTCCTGGCTTTTTTTACCGTTAAGTAGGATTCTAACGGGTTTCGTTATTGTCTTTTATACGCTCAGTAAAACGCAGACCAATACGCCCTTGTACTAGAGCATGATCTGCATCTAAATATGTGCTCCAGAACAAGTGGCAGTCTTCTGTCGGGCCTCCCAATTGTTGACTGATAGCGATGTAGCCAATTTGAGTCTAGAGTTAAGTCGATTTCGAGGGTCGTCATATCAAAAGATATTTTTTCTTATGTAAAAGGTTGGTACTTGCCAGGAATAGGTGGCTCCAGAGCACAATTGCAGCAGGCGCTCGCCAACATGTTATCTGAGCCGCCACACCGTAATATCACCTAGGTACCTTTCCGTTTCGCTTAGTCTACCTACTTGAGCATAGAAGTCATCATCCACTATGACCACATCAGAGTGCTTAGCTGTTTAATGAAGGTTGGAAAGCTTTGTGCGAAATTCATCTCTTACCTCATCCAAGCTGTGATCAGTAGGAATGTGGGCAAAGAGCGAAGGGGCGACTGCGAGTGTCCTTATCTTTCCAAGACCTTACTGTCCCGTTTAGTCGGATAGCACATAAGCAATAATCTACTGGGATCTAGTCTGAGAGCCAGTTCAGCCTTAGAACTGAATAATACTTACACCAGCAAGGCAGCGATGCGGCTTCCGGATACACGAAACGTAAATCGAGACAGTTCTTTATCTTGAAAAGGAGGTCAAATGAATGACCCTACTTGGATCCTGTATGCGCGTTTCGAAGACGAAGCATCCGTCAATAGCGCGAGATTCCTAAGTCTCTAGGTAAGTAAGCCTGTTTGGCGCAAGGCTCAAGGTTTTGGGTATAAGAGAGTTATTAAGAGGTGTAGGAGGCATTTAATTGTGTACAAGGTAGTCTCCTGTACTGTTTACGGGCGGATACCGCGTCCTGACTGCCCACATCGAGGAAGGGTACTTATCGAAGAACCTAAAAAGGGAGTTGGATTAGCGTTGGCCTTAACGACCTAGGAATGTGATCGCAGAGCCCAAGGGACAACTGCTTTAGGTCGGTCACGCACGGCCTTTTTATTGAAAGAATTTGGAGTGTCAGCTATGCTCTTTCAACTGGCTTTACCGCCGGAGACGGAAATCCGCGAGGTGCGACATTTTTACGGTCGACTTTTTCTAACCCCTTCCTTTGTGAGAAGGCAGCATCGCTACAAGTGCTGGTTGTCCTAGGGAAACACCTCACTGCCGCCATAGCCCTCTAAAGTCAGCAGTACGACTTCTCCCTCAGACTTTGAGTGGCTGCTATTAGTCTCACCGTCCACCAATCGACCTGCTTGATATGGTGGGATCTGAAGAAACATGTTCCAGCCAACATAGCCCGGTGGGGTCGTCACGATCGGCAATCCCGAACAGCACGTCAAGGTAGCAGCTACGATCGAGCAAAGTACTGACTTTTACCGTGAATATAAGACCAGTTTTATGTGGGATCTTGTTCTTTCAAATTTCCACAGAAGCACTTACATAAATACCGATTCTTTTACGAAACTGTCTTTCCTAATCTTGCCCCTATGTGCCCCGGTACGACCGGGAGTATGAAAAGTTCGCTCTCCCTCTCACAACCCTCTTATATGGTCGCACGTAGCAACATAGGATCAAAAACAGATCAAAAGGGAGATGCAATCAAAACAAAAGTGCAAACAACGACAGGTTTAACGACAACAACAACCAAACAAGATCGAGGTTAGCAGAACAAGCTACAGGTCAAACGTGGAGAAATTCTAATGCATCACTTCTATCTAAACTTTGTGCTGACGATGTTTTTCAGAAGAACAATGAAACCCCCACAACCAACACCCAGCTCAGAGAACCAAACACCACAATGGTCGCACGTCTATAACCACTGATAGAGAAGTTCTACACACTGCATCCTCATAACAAGAGTTCACGGAATCCAGATGACGTAAGGCGCATGTCTGGCTAGAGCTTGGTTAGTTCGAAGGACCCACGCAGATTACGGAAACACTGATAAAAAAGCAGTGGTATACGTGAGTCCCGATATTTTGAAGGGACAATTGGTGCAAACATTTACTGTCGGTCACGGGCCACCATAGAACTACATCTCATTACGTCGCTCCATTGACTTGTGGATCAGATCTCTAAGTCAAATGCTCACGGAGTGAGCCCCTAAGAAAACGATTTGTTTCGGTTTAAGCGGCTAGACAGTATCCCACCTCGCTCAAAAATTCAATAACTTGTATGATCCATAAATATGTGCCCATGTACCGAAAACTGTGTTGAAATAAATAAAAATGTATGTTAGCGATGGAAAAATCTGTGGCAGTATTAATGATCACAGATATGTCAACGAAGGGTACAGTTTGAGTGGACAACACGATTAATAAATAAGAAGTATAAGGTAACTCTACAATCTCAGATCTGGAGAAAGATTGTGGAGTCTGCTCCACTGCTACTAAGCCAATAAGGTAGGTCCCCGCCATTCATTTAAGTTGTCGTATGGATTTTGACTAGACCCCACAGATCGATGTCTTGATTTGAGTGTCATAAATTGTTTTTAATTTGACTAATATTAACCACCACCACTGTATGCTGTTGTGTGCGGCGTATGTCAACCCCTTCAATGTATAGAAGCTTACATTTGTGTTAACAGACTTACTACCTCCCTCTGGTACCCTATGACCATTTCGTTATCCCATAAGCATGTTAAGTAGTGTGACGACAAGAAGTCAACAACCTCACTCAAACGAGATCGCCGAATCAATTTTGTTTGCGGGGATTCCTACCTAAAATTGAGTTTCGTACGGAAAAAACTCGTGAAGACATAACTCATCATTTTGAGTTGTAGGAAATGTCCACCAATATAAACGTAATTAACCCAATGAGGATCCTTACGCTATTTGTAAGTGAGCAACATGGATAGTATTAGTCAACTTGACCATATATCCAGATTAAGATGTCAACAGCATGGCTGGACAAACAACTAATGCTCACAAGGTTTTCATATTCTGACTCAATACTATCATACATTTGTAATAAACAAGTTAGGGACCTAGTTAAGTCAAGGGATTCTTGCTGATTTACAGGCAAGGTTACCATGAGTTTTCCGCATTCGGAAACATAGTTACATTTTGATATTCAATCTCTAGCAGACTTACTTTTGACATATAAGGAAGTGCCAAAGATTCATTTGCACACCAACACTTATCACTTTAGAGTGTATGATGACACGCTACTTATTATTCAGAAGTCCATTTAGTTATTCGATGCCTGTGTTGATGACATAGGTATTTGATTCTAATCCCACTGTTAATGCCTCAACTATTTCGCCGTTGCAAACTTTTCTTGCTTATCGATTCGCCATCGGATCTCGATAAATCGTTGGTTATTAGCGGAGGAAAGTAACACCAAACCAGTCAAGTTTCTTTTCGTGTAGAAAAATTTCGAACTGATCCTAATCACCATACGAAATAAACCAATAGCGAGCCACTGCAAACGTATGTTCCTGAGGTGGACATCTGATCTTTTGATCTAAACAAACGTTCAATGGTCTGTAAATCTAACTCACTAATGAGCATCTATTTAACCCATTATAAAGTCCCAACTGTGCATTTGACTGGTTCTCGACATCAACTAAAAGCGTCAACAATCTACAACTACACCTAATATTGATTTTTTTGTGGAAAGAGCAACCCGCAAACACTACCTAGTACAGTGGATTTACAACAACGAAAATGCCAATGCCAATAAAGTTTATTAACTAATGGATTGAACTAGCAGTTGATGCAATTTTCGGCCACATATCAGCGCATTCTTTAGCCACCGGACCGGTAATTGCTGAACCTGAAATGAAAGCAGGAGTTATTTTGTAGAATGATTCAATAAAGATAGCGTTGTTAATTTTACTAAACAGCTCATGTTTTAAATTGATACAAAATAACTATAAAAGACTTATGTAAGATATTACCAAGAATATACTCGCCTTAAAAGGAGTAATAGATTGTGTGCTTTCTCAAAAGTGAAGTCTAAACAACTTTGTAGTCAAAGACTTAAATTTCGGTAAACGAGCATTACGGATTCTTTTGCGCACGCATAAAACGTCACTATGGCTTATTGTTTGAATGAAAATAATAGACAAGAGACTCGTCATTGTGAGTTTACTGAAGTCAACGTGCGTTGTCACATTTCACTTCAAATTGTATGTAGTAGCTAAGTGAATTATTTTACTAAGGTATTGCTAGCTAATTGAGCGATGCTTTAAGCGGTCTTGGTGAAGAGACTTTGTATTCATCACTAAATTAAGCACAGAACAGTATAACTGGTGATCATACATTGAGCGAATTAAATCGCGCTGCGAAAACATCAATGAGATTGCCTGAATGAGCACCTGATGATTGCTCAGGTTAAGCACACAAATCTTAATTATACAAAACGGGAAAATGCACCAGTAAAATGAGATACTATGAAGAAAAAAGGGTGGCGCAGTCAGTAAATAAATCAACGACATTAGGACGCAACATTTAAAAACGGCTCGAAACCTCTACATATATAAGGAGAATCCTTGATTACAAGAAGTCACAATTATACGCAAATGAACAAGTCGCCAGGAGCTTTGGGAAAAGTTGTAGACGACAGACGGATACAACGCAGAACTTCGAACACAAGTACATCAGTTCAGATTGCCATACCATATAAGCACAGAGACCCAACTTTCAGTTCAAATCCAAGAGTGATAGCAATAACAGAAGTATTAGCAGTAATGGAGAAGATTAGGGAGCAAAGATATGATTCGAAAAGTATAATTCAGTTTAGAATTAGAGAGAAAACAAAGAGTTGATGCACCTGCGTCATTGCAAATGACTCTGAGCCATGTCGTTTAAGGATCCCTCATCGTTAGTGGCTTTCGTCTCCCGGACCCAAACCAGGTTGCCCACATCCACAAACATGACTCAGTCCACTTGTCAATAACTTCATGGATTTGTGACATGTTTTGGTTTGGCTGCCTCTAGCTTTATTCCAACCTACTCCTACACTACAAAACATAGCCCGTCGCGGCAGTCGGTGGTTAGGCATACGTAGCACATGTCCCAACCACCTCAACTGATGAAGTTTCACTACCTCGTCTATTGATTTGCCATCCTTACCTAGAACTCGTTTCCTAACGACAGCATTGCTTATTCGGTTGTCCCAGGATACACGAGCAATGCTTCGGAAACACAGATGATCGAAGACCTACGAATGTCCTCTACTCTAAACGGCCATGTTTCGCACCGGTATAGTAGGACGGAGCGAACTGCTGCACGGTACATTCGTCCTTTGGTTAGCAAGCAGACCTCTCGCCTGCGTTTCTTAGCCTTAGTGAGAAGCGATGTCCGAAGATTAATCTATATCACTCCGTGAAAGTGATATTCACTAATGACTACGCAATAGGCATTGATTTTCAGTCACGAAAAATCAACCATTATGACTGCCCTGAAACAACAAATTCATGTTACAGCCATATCACTGTGGGATGGACAGAAGCAAGGATGGCATTGACAAATCCATACAAAGGTATGGGTAGCACTTCCGAATGACCTACCACGTGAATAAGTAAGACTGCAGATCAAATCACCGTTGATTTTCAAGTACTGAGCCGAATGGTTTCAGCTGTGGAAAACTGCTGTTATTGGTCACGTGAGATATCAACTATGCCATTTCTATCAAATCAGTGACAGACACAATGTGGGTTAGATGCTAATAAGTAACCAGTTTTAAACGTCTAAACAAATGAAGTTGAATACACTTCACCTGGCCCAATAGTGTAATACTGGACTGTCTGGGCAGTACATGTGACCATTATTACGTCACAGACTTAACATTTATATTTGCATAAGCTCTCGTCACAACATTACAGCTTATCGGTGCCAACTTAAGTGACTACATCAATCAAAACCTTAACACAAGGCTCTCGATTTAATTAGGGCTCACCAATTTATACGAGGGAGTTTTGAGTAAAATGAGCCGAAAATTAAGGGTATACAGGAAATAAGATATTTTAGTCCTTACCTTTAAGTTCTCCTTTGTTGTTGACAATCACACCAGCATTATCCTCAAAATAAATAAATACTCCGTTTTTCCGTCTGAAGGCTTTGCGTTGTCGGACTACTACAGCATATAACACTTTTTTCCTTAGCTCTGGCTTCCCCTTTTTAACTGAACAAACAATAAGGTCACCAGTTGCTGCCGATGGAAGACGGTTTAGACGACCTCGAACACCAAATGTGGCAATTACGTACAAATTTTTTGCACCACTGTTATCAGCACAATTCATTATGGCCCCAACAGGAAGGGCCAACGAAATTCGGAACTTTCCACCAGACGAACCACCCCTTCCTAGTTGAATTAAAAGCTGAGAATACAATCATGGCAAAATAAAGCGATGTACAATTCTTTACACAAAACAAAACGATGGACTTACCACGCTTCGGCATGTTGTAAGTTTAACCGCGACTGAGAAGTAGCAAGGAAAGTAGCACAGTATAAGTCTGTGTTACCATCATTCAATGTAAAAGGGATCCAGATGATTTCATTAAAAAATATGTATATATAGACTTCCTGTTATAAGATAGAATACTTAAGAAAAAACAAGATGGTGTACATAAAGGGAAACATTCTCAGAAGGAAGATCAAACTGTACAACACCAAATATTGTTGGGAAGAGATAATATAACTAATTACTTCAATCAAAGTGGTTCCTGATGTGCTGGGAAAATTATAAATCGAAGCCTTACTAAAACAGACAATGTTAACCATTTATCTACGGTTGACTCGGTGCTGACTCTTCGATTCGGTTTTAAGGACAAAGTTAAATAGAACAGATTGCATGTATTACTTCAGTTTTGGTTGCTTCACATAAAAAACTAAAATCTTTAAGTCGGATTTGGCTATCTCTTTCTTCCAAATTACTTGCTCTTCTTCAGAACTCACAGGAATGAGAAAACTGGGACGGTGCTACGGCTTGAGAAATAAATGAAATTTTGACGACACCGGATTTATGCAACTTACATGTGCTAAGAATACTTATGAAAAGTCCTTCTTCTGACTACCTGCTGGTAACTTCTCTTTTAGTTCTCTCTAGGTCCATGGGACCGCCAAACTTTTGTAGCTTGAGTGGCTCTGACTTAGGGATAAATTTCATCTTACTCTAACAAGATAGTTTTCTCTCTGTAGCGTTTCAGGTTATTCACCCAACTATTCGAACATTGTAAAATGAAAGAAATCGTGCGTCGTATGTACCATTATAATCTTCCTGGTTATCGCTTGTATCATAACATACTTATCTTTGCTATTTCTTTTGAGCGTATCATGTTCATTCTCGTTCCTTTAGCTATAAGCACATACCCTTGTACGCTTCCAGATACATTTTCCGTATATTTGCACTCGCCCGTCTGGTTGTGGTATTATATTTTATTTGTTTTAGACTTATTGTGCGCAAATTGCGTTATGCTTAAAATCAGTCATCAGGCTCTAGCTAATTCCATCCATTTGTTCGGCCGTTCATTTGTTTTTGAATGTCTGAAAATCAATGTATCAGAAAAATTTCGGATCCACGTTGATTCAACTCAAATTATTAGGGAACCAAGAAGAACCATAAGACTTACAAACAAAGGTTTGGAACATGTTGCGTGTATGTCAAGTATGAAAATAACTCGAATTATAGACGGTCACTTAGATCTGATAGCCTCTTCATTCTGCTCCGATGGTGCCCACTATGGTTTCAGAGTCGAGAATAATCAGGAAACCTTTATCTTGGTTCTGCCGGCTTCTCTGTCGGAAACAGAAAATATATTACAACTGATGACAGGATTATAAGATTTACTCACCCTTCACAGCACATTTCTTACCTTAACCAACCACTGAAGTATTCACGAATTTATTGCCTGCGATTTATTCTCTGACCTTCTTCTTCATGACACCTCTCAGTGTCTTATATTCTCATTCAATGTTCTCTCTCTCTTTAATAAACTAGTTATCCCACAACCCTTTTATTCTTTGTAAACGCAGGCATTGCATTACTACGGGGACGTCGTGCAAATCATCTAGTTTTATGGCACCCTAGGCGTAGGTAATTATATTTTATTTTGATTCGGTAAAAACCATGGATTGTAGAGGTGGTACAATTATCCATACCCGTTCGAACGTTCAAGTATGTAAACTTGAGAACGAATTTTTTTCGTGCCACAGATGACATTTGATTTGTTGTACATTGCAGGACGCAAAAGTATTTACTGGTGATATATATAACCGACCACTCCATGCCGACAAATCGGTAGCGAAAGTTTCTTATTGTTTCTGAACAGCTACACACGCTTCAACTCATTTCAGATTTTGATCTATCGAACAATTCATGGTATTAGAACTTGCTATTAGAACGAATTACAATTTGAATGGAAAAATAAAACTTTTTGTATGGGTCTAGAAGGTTAGAACGCTGATCATAAGAAATAATATACCTGACTTCATTTTCTCAATCACCTTTGATCCAGTTTCAGTGCACGTCATTCATGGATTTCTTATGGGTGATAATAAAGTCATGATAACCATACCTTATCTTCAAAACGCTACAATATCTAACTCCCAGTATTCAGAAGAGTAGAAGAGTGAGCGCTTTCTCTAAGAAATATGGAATCCCATTGTGATCCAAACTTGATGTTCACCATGGGAATCATAATTTACCGCAAATAATACAGACATTGTGCTTATCAATTTATACCACAACCTGACGCATTCATTACCTTGATTTCGTCACTTTAAATGTGGATTATCATTTTTGATGCTGATAGATGTCAATATAATTTCAAGAGAAAGCTTGGAAAACTGAAACACCACTTTCGCAAGCATGATGATTTATTTTGTCTCAGAATATGCTTCACTTTAATAACTGAAGTAAATCACCTCACTGCAAGCCTCTGTTGGCTATAGTGAATAAAACTATTGGTAGCAAAAACCTGATTCCACTCATACTGAAACTGTTCGAATCCTGCATGAAATCTAGCTCCCTTGGTACAACCACATTCCTCGTTACTATCGTGTATATTGTAGACAACCCTGACATCATTCCTGGGCAATTTAACAACCATTTCCCTCGAAGCTATAATACAGGAACCGAAACACCTATCAGCAAATACATTTACAGTTTTGTCATCTAGTTTAATATATGCCAATCTCAAGTAGGTTATAACTGCCCACACCATTAGGTTCACAACGTTATCTCACCCCCTTTCCTCAAAGCAGAAATAAATCGCCAGGATTGAGTGCAGAGACGAGCAGCTAAATGGGCGGTGTAGTTGAAGAACATATCTTGCGCAGACAGACTCCAGAGGTGAATCAGAGGTGATCTGATAATGGCGTACATATCGAGCACTCCAAAACATCTCATCATGAGCATCATGATGAAGTTACACTACTACATCCCTCTAGGTAATCCTCAAAAACTAGCACATCAAAGAGCGAACACTCAGGTCCGTGCACACTTCTCTGTCTTCTCACTCTAGTTTACATTTCGGTCCTCTCGCACAATCTTCAGTACAAAATAATTAAGTCATTTGTCCATTTATTTACTTAGTTCGTAAATCTCATTAGCATTAGAATTTTCTCTTTATCGCTTTCCAAATTATGGCTAACTAATCTCTGACATGGTGACGTGATAACTGCATGTTTCCAGAAATCTTCCTACCCTGAAACAAGGTATCTACAAATTTATTAAAAACCGCGAAGTGACCAAAATTAGTGAAACCAAGCGGCTATGCTACAATCCTTCAGACACTATCAGAAACCTGGAACCATATAGAAGAAACAAGGATCGAGCTCAAAGAAATCAACTAGTGTATACTAGCTCGTGAAAAGGATATTGGATACTACCCTGAAAAAGTCTTACGAGAGTGCAATCAGCGGTGTTTTCGCATCGTTCATAAAGTATGATAGCATGGGGTTTCCAGTATTCTACTTAAAACTGTTCAACTCATTTATTGATTATGGAGCGTGTCCATTTGTGTTAGAAGCATAGCTTATTATATTTAAATTGGAAACAGGATCATTTAACAATTTTTCTGGCAGTAGGCTTATTAACATGATCTCAGTGCTATCAAGAATCGTGTAGAAAATCATCTACAACCAGCTTTTCTCATTTCTGCTTCTTGCAAACCTAACTAGCTCTTACCAAGAAGGATTTGTTTCTAAGAACCCATGCTCATCATCGCACTTCGCATTTTTCTGGTTAAATTTTCCAGCAAAGAATCGTTGGTCAGTCAGTGAAAATTCTTTGCTTCAATTTTACTACGACCTCCAAGAGTTTCCTAAACATTCTAATGCTTACCAGTTAATGTTGAATAAAGTGGATTTGGATTGATAGCAGTCATAACTTTACTCTGTTACTGCACAAATGTGTACCAGATCTCTTCAGTAATCTTTTTGATTTATTGTCGTTACTCGTAAGATAGTTTTAAATTTTATGAATAACCAAAACCAGTAGGTTCATAAGAATTTATCCCAATAACACCAAATTCATATTATGATCATTATCATGGCATGGCCAACTCGTATGGGATTTTAGATCCTCATTTATTGAATAGGAGTATACTGAGAGTATAGTAAGGTAACTGAATAAGTTACGCTTTGGTACCATTAGGCAATCCTTACCTGTAGATTACGTTTGAAAGTTGACCCGTGACACCATAGGATTAACTGAATTATCACTTGTAAGATGAATCACCAAGCTTTATCTGCCAGATTTTTTAGTTCAATATTTAAGTTCCTTTGAACCGTACCTATTCATACAGCCTTTTGTCTTCTTGTTACCGCACCAGTGACTTGTTTTCATCGACCTACATAGATGTCGTCGTGCATAAGTGATCTAATAAAAATAAAAGAGTTAAAAAATTATACTTTAATGCCTTATTAATCGATGCACCTGCTGAGTCACGATTTAGCTTCATTACCGAATATCTTCTGTACTGCTTTTCGCCTTCTCTTTCCCTCTCTTTTTCAGCACCATCATAATATATTGACAGAAGCACATCTGAAACATATCACTTTATCCTGCGTTTTAAATGATACACATATTAAATAATTGTCATGAAAATGCCATCAAGATGGTATCTGAAGGAGGGCTAAAGAAAATGTTGAAGCTTAATAGTCTGCAAAGAGATAGAACTTCCAGCGTTAAAAAAGTTTCATACAACTCAATTTATAGCTGGGAGTTTCCTGCCAAAAGTGACATATCTGGACTCAGAGTCCTAAATACGTCTCAAGGTTACCAGTTGTTGTTTGCTCACTCTTATAAGGCTTCTCTTATTGTTGGGTCACATGAGTCTACTGTTGTGCCGATAGATGCTTCAGTGTTAGGATATGCAAACATGGTTGACAAAGCGACACCTTTCAGTTTGAAAAATGCTTTATGCCCAATGTCTTCCATACTATTGGTTTGTGCATC